CAGAGTCCTGTTTAACCAAGACAGGAGGCTGTAGGCTGTTTCTGGACAGAACTCTTTCCTTGCAAGTAAGAAATTGGCACTGAAATAAAAGCTTCTAAATGTGCGGCATGCCCTCGGTGGCTTTGAATTCCCCCACTTTCAAGCTTCAGGAAGCATTTGAGTTCTTAAATCTGGAGACAGCGTCTCTCCTGCGTTGGGCTGGAAAAGAGGAAGAAATTCCACGGGTCACAGTTCCAGGAAGCAGGAGAACCCCCGCCTTTCTGCACCTGCTGCCACTTGCCAACTGCTATTCCTCCTGCCTGCAATGGCAAAGATAAAGCCCTGTGCTGCGCTGAGGACTTGGGGGCGAAGTGGGGTGGGGGTATCAGCCACAGCACGACCTGTAAAAGTTCTGAGTCTGTGGCCAGGATTCTGGGGCCCCGCGTCCAGCTGGAGATTTTTTTTTCTTTGCTTTCGCTGCCGCCGCCGCCGCCACCTTCTGCAGCTTTGCAGGCGCCTCTTGGCTCGCGTCCTGCTCAGCTCCGGAGTTAGGAGAACCTTGGCAGGGCTACGCGTGAGACTTTTATAACCCGCTGCAGAGACGTCACTGGGAATGGGTAGTACCTGGGCTGCGTACTCGCCAGTCCCCTTGCGCAGACAGGCGGCTTCACCATCTGTCGACAACTGTCTCACTGCACCGTCGCAACCACCGAGCTGTTTTGCTGCTACCTGCTGTGGAAGTCTGCAAGCCCGACTCCCCACGCACTCCTCAAGGGGGCGCTAGCTAGATCGCCTCAGAAGGAATGCGCCAGATGGGGTCCGCAGCTGGAACCGCAGACGACCCAGGGGGAAAGAAAGGATTTGCGAAAGACTTGAAGTGATGGACCCTCCGGGGAAGGCAGGCATGCTGCCATGGCCCTGCAGAGCCCCCTGCCTCTGGTGGCGGGAGTTTGGCAAGTGTCCGGGCAAAGCGCCAGCGCTGCGCTCCCAGCCTTTCTCCAGTCCTAAACACTCACGCCTAGTTCCTTTCTCTGACAGGCCGATTCCCCTGGGAAACAGTGATGGGTTCTAAGATTTGGGGCCATCTCCAGCCACCCCGGTGGCTTGAGCCCTCGCTCCATGAAGAGCTCCAGCTGAGCTCACCAGATGAGAATCCCCGCCCCGGCAGAGGCAACGGGATACCAGCCGGAGCTCCCCACTAAGCAGTGTGTCTCCCAGACGAGCGGCTCTGGGCGCTCTGCCAGCATCCGCTGCAGCCTCGCGCTCGCCGCCCGGCGACCTGGCAGCCTCTGCCTCTGCGCCTCCCGGGCTTGGCGGCCAGAGCCGGTCTTGGGGTGGCGTCGGGGGCCGGACCCTCTCCCCCTCATCCTCTGTCAGGTTTGCATAAGCACTGGAGGGCAGGGCTGTTCGCCTTCTCTCCCCACCCGAGACCCGCCCCTGGCGGGCTTCGAGGCCACGTCTCCCAGTCCGAAGCTATTGCAAACGGCCAGCCTGGTGCAGGGCACTGGAAGGGGTGGGAACGGCTCGCCAGTAGATGCCAATCCTTTCGCAGAAACCGAGATGGACTGAGAGGTTCGGAGTGCGTTCCAACCATACTGCCTGGGAGATGAGGCTCCATGGACACTCGAATCTTCCGAGTCTTTTTGGGGGCCGTCCGCCGGTTCCCCCACCTTTCACTGCGGGGACTCGGAGCTGTGGGACGGGGGCTGGGATGGGCAGCACCGACCTGCACGGAAGCTCGGGTTTGCGCAAACCGGAGCTCTCCTGGGAGTCGCGTTTACGCCCTAGTCCTGCCTGGTTGCGTGCCTCTGCGGTAAGCGCTCAAAATATCCCGCGGGAACCGCTTTAAAGTTAAGAAATGTATGGATTTATGCCGGGCTAAAACCAGATGCTTTCAGGGAATCTGCTAGTTCACTCTGGTTTTGTTGACGCCTGGAACTTCAGCGTTTGCATGAACCGCATCTTGCGCTGCCTGGTCCTCCAGGCACCCTTAAACCCGGAAAAGAAAACTCCAGTGATGCCTTGAAGAGAACAGTGTCTTCTTTAGAAGGGCAGCAAAGGAGAGATTTTAGGTGGAAGGGAACACCTTCTTTTTCACTCTGGATCTCTCATTGCTGCCTCCACCTCTCACAGAGCTGACAGAGTGTGAGTGCATGTCTGTGTCCCACCATAATTTTTCCTCCCAAGCTGTCTTAAAGCGATCTTTCCCTCTTTCTCCCTGCCCAGGAGGCAGGCTGACTTTTTTTAGAGGAAATTTACTCAATGCTTGGGGTGTGGTGGGGGTGTGAGAGGGGAGAAAGATAATGAATTCTAAGTGTATAGCAAAAGCTAAATGTAAATACATTAAATAAAAGCTAAAAAGCAAGGATTGATCTATTTATCTTCCACTAGTAGGGCAAGTTGACACCTTGAGCCAGATACTGCTGAGCTGCGGATATAGTCAGGCAAGCACAGTCTATTGACAGGGAAAGAGACAATTACCTACGCAAAACAGGC